ATCAATGATTGATATGATTAAAGAGAATCAAATTCGGTATCGCTAATGTGAAATTGCTTGAAATAAAACATTTTTTTCTGATGACACTGATTGATCAGCGAAACATGTCAAAAGTATTTTCCCAAATTGTCTTCTATATTTACTAGTATTCCTATAGCAAATATTAAATAAAATATATAGTTATGACAGCAAACTGATAAATCGCTGGGCCACTTTGAAAATATATTGATTATGAGTAAAGAAAATGACATACCTGAGCATATATTTTCGAAATAAAATGTAATTATACGGGATATCGTTAGAGTGTTTAGAAAGTTTGTATTCTAAACATGAGATCGAGGTTCAAATCTTACTATGGTTGATTTACCAAGGAGGTGACTTCTTGATGTTATCAGTATGGGGATGTGATCTAGGCGTACGACACTGTTAGAAAATGTATTAAAAAACAAAAAAACAATATCACGCGTTGACCCAAATTCGTGAGTGAAATTAGATAGGCGGAGCTGTTTGGAAACCATCTTGATCGAGAGTTTGAAACTACTAATCACGTTGGACCAACGCTTTCTCTCAGAAACTAACTGATATTGCCTCAGAATAGTTTCAGTAGAAATCACAGTTGGGCCTTGTGGGTGTAAACAAACACAAATGTGCCTGAGCAGGCGTCTACAATAGGGATTGGTTAGCCTCCTAGCAGACGTGAGTGCTTGGAAATGAGTAACCTGCAATATATATATATATATATATATATATATATATATATATATATATATATATATATATATATTATAATTATAATTTTAAAAAAATATTATTCAGTCGCTACATAGGAATTACCATGTTTCAAAAACAGAAGCTAAAAACTTCCAATTCAATTATAGAAATTAAATTAAATTAAAGTATCTAGTTCAGTTTCATCCTCAAGCGAATTTTGGAATAAATAATTTTGAAATTTACGGTGCTTTATAAGTATATAAATTCGTAATATTAGTTTTTATGGATCTGGAGAAAACTAATCATTTTAATAAGGAGTGGTAGTGTATTCATTTTTACAGATAACTATTGTATCAGAATATTAGTTGCTTTCGAATAATATAGACTCTACTTATGTATCGATCACTGTTTTTTTTTTTAAATAGAACAAAAATACTAAAGAACTTCGAATTATTAACCTAACGGCTCTTTCCTATTTTTCAGTATATTTCCACACACACACACACACACACACACACACACACATATATATATATGGTTTTAAGATATGCTATATTTATGGTTAATAGTGATTAATATCAGAGATAGAGCGTGTGAAATGAGTAGCGACAATCTGTTTCATGCTTAAACGCAATCTTCATAGCTTGAAGATTGCGTTTAAAGATGAAACAGATTGTCGCCACTCAGTGTTGACATCAGTACCCACTCTTATTCCATTGTCTGATTAAAAGTTGCAATAAAAGTAAATATTAACCAATAATGATGGTTAAAATGGTTTTGATAATGTATGAGTGCAGAATTATTGAAGCACTTCAGATACGGGAGACCAGTGCTCGCGCACGCGCGCACACACACACACACACACACACACACACACACACACACACACAAACATTGGTTGTTGACATCAATGTCCAATTTTATATTTACATAATTCTATCCCTGATATTGACACTTTAACCGATACAATATCTTAAAATTATATTTTATCATATATATATGTGTGTGTGTGTGTGTGTGTGTGTGTGTGTGAAATGAGAATGAACGTTATTCTTCCTTTTCTCATGAAAAGAGGGCATATGTTTTTAATTCTCAATAAATTGTCTACTCACCAGTTATTTACTAACACCTGATGAGATGTGTTAATATGCATCGAAACATGATTGCATTTGTGTAGCATCTTTACATGTTTTTGATGTAATGTCCTAAAATAAAGTGTGTGTGTGTGTGTGTGTGTGTGTGTGTGTGAGTATATATATATATATATATATATATATATATATATATATATATATATATATATCTTTCCTTCTACACATCTTGCTATGTGTTATGTCTCCCACAGCAAACTCTGTTGATGATTGTAAGTACGAATATAAAATTGCTCGATCAATCGTTTTCTATTAATGTCAAACATATATCAATAAAACAAAATGATTTCTTAAAAAAGCAATACACTAAGAATGGCATCTTTGTCTTTCATAAATGTTAATGTCGAAGTGTTATAAATATTTTTTGTCCGGAAAAGTAATTATATATAATTCTCCTATTCCACTTCTTTTGTTTTATGTGCCAAGGAACATAACTCATTCTCTAAGACACGGCTTGTTAATGGAACGAGGTCGCAATTAGTGTGAATAAGTGCATTTTGGCACTTTTAAAGCAAAGCTCATTCAGAAGTGCAATAAAGGTAATAGAACGATTAAGAAACGTGCGGAATCGAAACTGTCCCGCCGGTTATGTAATTATTCTCATTTATCAAAATTAAAGCTAGTAATTAGCCTAAGTAAGCGAAAAATTTTTACTGACGATCAGGTTGAAACAAAAAGAAGAGTTAAGACACACACACACACACACACACACACACACACACACACACACACACACACACATATATATATGTGTGTGTGTGTGTGTGTCGCTTGATGATGTAACAGAGCTTACTTTAACTCAATTTAATTCAAATAATTATATTGAAGTTTTCAGCTCTTGTTTTGAAACATGAGACCTCTTATGTCGCGAGTTGGAATTATTTTTTAAATAAATAATTATATATATATATATATTATTTATTTAAAATTATATATATATATATATATATATATATATATATATATATATATGTTCAAATAAATAGAAATAACCGACAGATTAAGAATCCACAGTTATTTAGCATTTACTTTTAATTGCTCCTTACAACGTGGAGCAAAATATTTTAATAATATTTTTTATTTAAAAAATATTTTACATCGCTACATAAAAATGTCTATGTTTCGGAAATTAAAATTGTTCCATCATCAGGCGATGTTAGGTAACATCGCCTGATAAAAATATTAATAATAATAATAAAAAAGTATTAATATTAATAATAATAATAATAATAATAATATATATATATATATATATATATATATATATATATATATATATATATATATATATATATATATATATATATATATATATATATATATGTAATAAGATTCTATCATAATTTTATTTCGGACAAACAGAACTATTTGTCTTAACAATCACAACACTGATGATGATAGTGGTAAAAATATCAAAAGTACTCTGAAAAAATTAAAAAATAAAAATGAATAAATATAACCACATTAACTTGCTTTCATTAATCATGAAACAATGAAGCGTATAGGAGATTACGAAAGGATTTTATTGAAGTTATGTAAGCACAACATGTGTAAATTGTTTAATGAAACTTCCACACACACAGAAACACACACACACATACACAGACGCACACAGAAACACACACATACACACGTACACAGACACACAGACACACACACACACACACACACACACTATATATATATATATATTATAATAAAAAGAAAGAACAGTAAGATATATAATCCGCTGTTCTTATTGATATTTTTATTTTTACAAAACAGTACTCAATGTAAATTTATAATTTTATGGTGACTTTTAAATCAGTTAATTTATAATATATATATATATATATATATATATATATATATATATATATATATATATATATATATGCATGTATTAATTCACCCGAAGCAAGGGTTATTAAAGCGATAATGCCACTAAGACGCAAGGGCCAACCAGGGAGTGAAAAAGCATAAAAAAATTTAGAAGGACCGGGAACCCAGTTCTAAAAAAGGTAACAAGGGATAAACCACTACTCCTGTTCAAAAGACCCGCATATATTTATATATATATATATATATATATATATATATATATATATATATATATATATATATATATATAGTAGAACCCTGTAGTACGAGTTTACCATTATACTATCAACTTGCTTTACGAGTTGCCATTTGTTTCTGCATTTTTTTTATCGTAGGACAAGGAAAAATTCGCAGAACGAGCAACTATCATATACACGGTACCAGACGGTGACCGAGGAAAGACGAAGCATTGTAAGCTGACATAATTTATTGCGAAGACGGTTAAAAGCAAGATGAAGCGCATCCGTGAACACCTGACGTCCAGAACATTTATCCATTTAATTGGGGAATATTCTTGGAAGTACTTATCAGAGATAACGTTATTTACTAACGCTATCGATTGCCTCCCATTCCCTTTCGTTACCGACCGCCATTTTTCTCAATTCAAGTATTCATCAAGGTATATTTTGTAGCGGTAACATCCCGATCATTTTGTGCCGGGGAATTTTCGGTGAAATGTTCATTTTTTTAAATTTATTTATTTAACCATGGATTCGATGAGTGTAAGGCATGGTGGATAGCTGCTCAGAGAGCCGAGTTCGAATTTCAGTCGAATCCATTACATTCACTTACGTGCTAATACCCTTGGGAAAGGGTATTAGCACGTAAGTGAATTTTTCTTCTACCCTCAGGGGTAAAGAGCAGGACAGACTGGATTCTATAGCCTTGGATGGCAACTGATCTACCGCAGAAAGAAATGTTAACCTACTGCGGGGAAAAATCTGCCTCGTCAGTTATGTATCGAAAGATATATCATCGCCTAAGCGTGTATCACGCATGGCACATAACTGACTGACTGACTTTCCAGTCGAATCCATTACATTCACTTTCGTGCTAATACCATTGGGAAGTTATAGATCCTTTTCTTCTCCCCCCAGTTATGGGTAAATATCAGGACAGACTGGGTTCTATAGCCTTGGATGGCAACTGGCCTACCGCTGCAAGAAATAGCAACCTACTGTGGGAAAAAAAACTCTGCCTCGAATGTCATGTGTCTTTCCATACATGATATGATGACATGATCGACTAAGCGTGTTTCACGCTTGGCACATAACTAACTGAAGTGTTAAAGATAGGGGTAATAAGAAGAAAAGGCCAATTAGATTAGAAAGAAGAAAGAGATAATCGAAAAAATACGAGAGAGGAGTCCGTATAGTGATTGGTAGGGCAATACGACCGAACGACGTCAACGATGGAAAATGGAAAAGCTGCTTCTCCTTTCGATTAACGACAAGGTGCTAGCAAGCGATACTCCTGCGGAAACAATTATTGCTGAGAAAGTCCGAGTGCTGTATGGGGATCTCCAGAAGCAGAAGTCGACGCAAGAGACTCCGGCAGAGGAGTCTAAGGTCAATCGGGGTTATTTCGACAATTTTAAGCCAGTTCTGATAAGAAGGCAGCCGATGAAT